ACTAAGTCTGACATTAAAAAACCACAACATTCAAAAAACAGTGGGAGAACATTTTAGCCTTCCAGGACACTTAGTTGCTGACCAAAGGGTAGCATTTCTCTGACAAAGGAATTTCAAAGGGGGATTAGAAAAAGAGACTGCTGAATTGCAGCTGATAAGGAAGCTCAAGACAATGCATCCACCTGGATTGAGTCCTAGGTTTCCTGTCTCATTACCAGTGCTGATCTCTCCATGCCTACTACCCCTCTGCATATCACACCTGATCCAATCAAGCCTGCTACTGTCATTTGCCTGCTATTGCCCTTCAGCATCTGAAATCAGTCCTCTCTCCAAAATATCAGGACAGAGGGACTCACAGTCTAGCGGCATCTGAAAAAGGGAGCAGACTCACAAAAACTCATATCCTGCCACGAATTTTGCTAGTCTTTAAGGTGCTCCTGGATTCTTGCAAGACTACACTGATTTTCCAATGGAAGCCCTCAGGCTTGGCTCTTGCCTAGATAACATTCAGAAAGATCAGAATCTTGGCACAGAGTATCTGGAAGCAGAGGAGTGTAGGAAAGGACAGGACAGCAGAAGTCAGTCTATGGCTGAAAACGAACACAGCAGAGGAAGGTTTATGAAAAGTTCCCAACGGAAATGCCTTTCAGTACAGAAAGGAATATGGATGATGAGGACAGAGGAAATGTGCCACCTTTTCATTCCTTCTTGGAAATGCCTTACAAAGTTTCTTTATTTTGAGACAGCCCAGAGAATCCACAGAATTAGGGATGAAATTACTTGGGTGTTAACAGTTCAGAGGTTACTATCCAACTAGGACGGGGAGACCGCAGTTTAAATCCCCATGGTGCCACGAGGTTTACTGGGTGTCCTTAGGTCAGTCGCTCTTTCTCTAAGCCTTGTCTACCCCACAGTGTTGTTGTGAAAATGAAATGGTGCCGACCCACATACGCCACTCTACGCTCCTTAATGGAAAAGCATGAGAAAAACAGAACAGATTTCAAATGAGAACAGTCTGTTAAGCTCCCTGCTGTTGAAAACACTGAACATTTTGAAAGGCAGTTCCACAGAAAAGGGGTTTAGCCAGTTTGGTGTCGTGGTTAAGTGCGCGGACTCTAATCTGGGAGAACCGGGTTTGATTCCCCACTCCTCCACTTGCACCTGGCTGGATGACCTTGGGCAAACCGTAGTTCTGATAAGAGCTGTTCTTGAAAAAGAGCAGTTTCTGTCAAGAGCTCTCTCAGCCCCACCTGCCTCACAGGGTGTCTGTTGTGGGGAGGGAAAGGGAGAGGAGTTTGTAAGCTGCTCTGATACACCTTTGGATAGTGAAGGGCGGGGTATAAATCCAATCTCTTCTTCTTCTTCTTTTCCCATCTGTCATCACTCAGTGCTGCGGGGAAGGACCACTGTGACTCGGGGTGTGTGTGTGAGGAGAACAGCCACTGTCAACCCTAGTGAAAAGGACCAGTTACATGTGAAAGACCTGCACCTGTGATGTGGACAGCCATTGCCAGAACAGAAGACGTGGACCCTGAGAGACCGAGGATCTGACTCAGGATATAAGGCAACTCCATGTGAGTTCAAATGCTTTTATCTAGAAGCATTTTCCGTCCCCAAATCTTTCTCCGCTGTAGTTGCTTCTAATGAGTCATGCTTTCCAATGCATTTTTATATCCCACTTCTCTCCCCAATGGGACTCAAAGTGGCTTACAATGTTGTCTCCCCTCCTCCATGTCATCCTCACAGCCACCCTGTAAGAGAGCTTGGGCTATTACTTTTTTTTAAATTTATTTATTTACATTGGATTTATATACCGCCCATGACCCCTAATGGGTCTCAGAGCTGTTTACAGTGTACTACTAGTATAGTAGTAGTTAACCTACCTAGGGCCACACATTTCACAGGGGGGGGGGGACTACCTACCGACACCCTATTTGGCGGCGCGTTATGTCTTCTTCCGGCGGATTACTGAATAACTAATTAATTTTCGTATGGCATTGTGTGTTGTAGAGCCGGGAGATCAGAAGATTGTCTGGCAGCCTTCAGTTCTAACTCTTTCAGCATTATGCACCACTAGGTGGCGAGCTAGGCTTACTCTGGGGGCTGAGAGAACTCTGAGAGAGCTGTGACTGACCCAAGGCCACCCAGCTGGCTTCATGTGGAGGAGTGCCGAAGCCGGTTCTCCGGATTAGAGTCTGACACTTTTCACCACCCAAAGGCACCCAGCCAGCCAGCTTCCTCAAAAGACTTGGGGATTCTTGCAGGTCCTGTCCTCCTGACCCTCTAATCACTATACCACACCCACATTCCTTGCTCTAGCAAAAGTTCATTTGGAACCTTTCCCAAAGCCACCTTCTGTTGCTTCCGGAAGTTAGCCGTGTTGGGCTGGGATCAAGTGCACAGCAATTTATAGAGCAACCCGATTTTGGGGAGGGGGGGAGGTATGAGCTTTCAAGAGTCAAAACTCTCTTGGTCTCGAAGGTGCTACTGCACACCTCCACTGTTTTCGCTCCAACTTCACCTGCGCATTCTGCTTCACTGCACAGGACTCCCTGCCCCTTTCCACACACCCCTGCTTCTAGACACAGCTCTGAGCCAAGATGCTTCCTTATCTCAAAGAAATAATCTTTTCATCCCAGATTGCTGATGTCCCTTTCCATGTATGGCTGCACCCAGACAGCTTTACACTGAATGATATCTGGGCTGGAGCCAAGCTTGTTTGCTCCTAGCAGAAGGGGGCTGTGCAGAGACCTGGAGCTGGCAGGATTAACAAGCCACGTGCATCTTTCTCCCCTTGGTATTTTCTTTTCTTCCTTGAATATCAAATAAAAGGAGGTGGGCTGGTAGGGATAGATTTCACTATCCCATCAGAAAGTCTGGCATGCCATTTAGCATTGGTACTTAGAAAGCCACTCAAGGGCTGCACTGGGTGGAACCACAAGAAAATGAACAGCACCAAGCCGTCATTCTAAAGGATCAGTTAGAGGAGATGTCCTTTATCCAGGATTTAGACTTTCTTTTTACAGTGGACCAAGCATCAAATTAAATAATTGCTTAATTTACATCACATTTCGATATACAGTGATTGCATTTTCAAGTGACATTTTTTTGCAAGGAAAAGGAAACCAGCAGCAATTTAAAAAACAAAAACAACCAGCGGTTCTCCTACTGAAAAGCGCGCAACCTTAAGGAAAGTCACGCGAGCGCGCAATTGTGGCGTTACGCAACGGGTCGGGCACTCCTTCCTGCAGCCGGGACTCGCCTCCTTGCGCGCAAAGCAGAGAAGGAAACGCCAGACAGGCTTTCCTCCCTGAGCCAAGCCCGCTCCGGCCCCGCGGGATCGCCCTGGAGAGAGGCCCGGGCCGACGCCACTGCCAGCGAGTGACGTTCCAAGTAGGACGGAGAATTCCCCAGGGGCGCGCTGGAGAGCCCGGTGCCAAATCCTCCGCCTGCAAGCGCCATTTGCACCGCTGGTAGCCAGTTACAAAGGCAGCGGGCGACTTCCTTGCACAATACCCGGGATCCTGTGCACCGAGATCGTCGTCAGGACCCCGGAGCGGGAAGAAAGCCTTTCTTCCTCCAAGCACACGCAGCGTCGAAGGGTCTAGAGAGCACAAGGGCAGCCCGCGGCGTAGAACTCATGAGCAGAAGATTCCGGCACGCCCAAAGGCAGAGGCGCGGCCTCATTTCTGGTTCCAAAGCAAACCAGAAGCTTTGGCGGTGCAAAAAGCGGGTTGCGATGGGGGCGGGAAATGCAGCGAGGAGAGAGTGTGCTATAGTGGTTACAGCGTCGGACAAAGAGCTGGGTTCAAAGCGCCAGCGTCATAAACCCGGCCGATGCGCTCCCCAGAAAGGTGCCTAGTAACTCGTCTTCCCAAAGGGCCTATACACAGCCTCGCCTACACCACAGGGTTATTAGGAGGATAAAATGGAATAGGGGGAACCAGGTGCGTTCGTTGGAAGACGCGCGGGATAGAGTTGCCAGCCTCCAGGTGGGGCCTGGGGATCTCCCGCTTTTACAACTGATCTCCAGCTGACAGAGATCAGCTCCCCTGGAGACAATGGCTGCTTTGAAGGGTGGACTCTGTGCCATTGGACCATGCTGAGGCCCCTCCCCTCCCCAAACCCCGCCCTCTCCTGGATCCACCCCCAAAGTCTCCAGGTATTTTCCAACCCAGACCTGGCAAACCTAGGGCGGGATAAAAGTGCACTAGACTGAGAAGGGCCAAAACCATGGCTGAGTCTGCATTGGCTTTTCCCTCCCTTGTTTTATCAAAACCCACTGTTGGAACAGAAAAGATGCTGCTCAAAACCACATTCAGATACCCCGGGGCAACGCCATACTGACTACAAAGTCACCCCTGAAGGGCCATAAATCTATGCAGAAGGTACCACAAAACCCGATGCTCAAAGAAAGTGACAGCCGCATGGAGTGTGGAGGCTACCATAAAATCCGATGGCCAAAGAAAGTGACAGCAACAAGCAGTGCAGAGGGGAATTTCTGTTCCATCTTGGGTTTGGTATAACAACAGAAGAAAAAGCCAGTGCAGAATCGCCCCATGAATCCAGCCGCAATCCGAAAAACCATTCAGAGGAGCGTTGCCAGGGTAAAACCGTCAGAACCCCGTTCCACTCGAAAGGAACAAGCATGCATAGGATCAGACTGCGTTACAAGCCCATTTAAAAGCCTTTTCCGCCAAGGGGGAAGAGTCTACTGCACAGAGGCCCTCCTCCAGAAAGCGGAGGCTCGCAGTCTCTCGGCTGCTGTCGCGCTGAGGGGGGGAATGTCACCACGCTCCTGCTCCTTGGGGGGCATCACCGAAATCCGAACTGAACCGGCGATGTAATTCGCCAGGCCAAAAGATCTCCGCCGCCCTGGAACGGAGTCGCCCAGCCCAGCGCCGGGCTTGCCTTCTCCCGCTTTCCTCTCCGGAAATCTAGATGCGAGGGCGGCTGGATGCCAAAGGAAGCAGGCAAAGGCGAGGCACGACCCTCTTTACCTGCAGGCTTTCCCCACCCAGGAGAGACGCTGCCGAGGCGCTCCGGCTGGACCCCAACGAGCCTTGTAGCGGCCGCTGAACCTCCGCGGCCGGGAAGCCTCTCCAACGAATGCCCGGAATGCTCGAAGTCAAGGCGGCAACCGAACCCCGCGTGCAACCCTGACAATCCTCCTCTCCTATAGCGACGACGCGGCTGAGCCCGCCTTCCGGCCCTCCTCGGGCCAATCGCCGCCGCGGAACCGAACGAGCCTCCTACCCTCCTTCCATAGATTCGCAAGCGTGGGCGAGGCTGGCCAGGAGCGGAGCCTGGAGGGTTGCGACGCCGCGCAATGACATCGATCTGGGCCAGAGAGAGAAAGCGCGCTCCGTCCCCGCCCTCTGCTCCAGCCAATGGGGAGGGAGCGCCGCGTGCCCGCCTTCCCCCGGCCGGGTCTTTGGAGGCTGCTTTCAGGGAGGCCCAAGGAGGAAGAAGGCTGCAGTCTGGCTTGCCGGGCGGTGGTTGCGTCAGCTCCAGGCGGCTCATTTTGCACTGCAGGAGCGGGTTCGCGAGCCTAAGGCGGTTGCCAACTGACAACCGGGGGGGGGAAGCCAATCCTCGATCCTGTTTTTCTACCTTTAACGGGATCTAGATGTGCAAGAATCAGCACATGAATCTTCTTAATGGCCTAAAGGTCAACATGACCAACCGGGCGCCGCTACAGCGGCAGGCGGGAAAGTTGCCAACGCTGGCTGCAAGCCGAAACTGGGTTTATACGAACAAAGTTTGAGTCCAGTGGCACTTTTAAGACCAATAAAGTTTAATATAAGGCTGAGGAGTCTGGGACTCTGAGGAAAGGGGGGACTTTTCAGTTTAGAAAGGGGACGGCTAAGGGGGGACCTGACCAGTGTTCCCTCTAAGCTGAGTTCGTGTGAGCTAGCTCACAGTTTTGTAGCCTCTGGCTCACACATTTTTTGTCTTGGCTCAGGAAGGATGGCTCCAGAGCAAACTAATTTATGCAGTAGCCAAATTGCTCGCTCACAACTTTAATGCCAGCAGCTCACAAAGTGGAATTTTTGCTCACAAGACTCCACAGCTTAGAGGGAACATTGGACCTGACAGATTTTTATAAAATCATGCATGGCTTGGAGAGAGTTGACAATGAGAACATTTTCTCCCTCTCCCAAAATTCTTGTACTGGAGGGCAGAGAAGGAAGCTGATAGGGAGTGGGTTCAGGACAGACAAAAGGAAATACTACTTTACACAGAGAGTGATTAAAATGTGGACTTCGCTGCCAGAGAATGTAGTGATGGCCATGGGAATAAACAGCTTTAAAAGGGGATTAGCTATTCGGATAAACCTATCAGTGGCTACCGGCCATGGTGACTGAGGGGAACCTCCACATTCAGAGGCCCCCTGAATCCCAGAGGCGGGGAAGGCCTCAGCCTCTATGCCTTATCCGCCCTCCAGAGGAACTGGTTGGCCACTGTGTGAGACAGGATGCTGGACTAGATGGACTATGCATAAGAATGCCGACTTGACTTGCATATTCTATTTATTTATTTTAATTCATTGCTCGGGAGACCACCAAGGAAGACTCTGCAGAGGAGGGCAGCGGCCAACCACCTCTGCTTCTCACTTGCCTTGAAAGCCCCTTGCTGGGATTGCCGTAAATCAGCTGCCACGTGGTGGCACTTTACCCACACACACACACAGACGGCATTTTTCTCCCAGGGAGTTGGCAACCCTACCCACTACTGGTCCTTTTAAACTGGAAATGCCAGGGATTGAATTTGGGGTATCTTCCTTGCAAAGCAGATGTTCCACCATTGAGTCATAGCCCTCATCCTCTTCATAAACAGAAGCACTCTTTTCAGTGCTTGTTTAAGAACTGATGACAATCAGGATTTAGAATCTGGTTACATAATCCAGAGTACTGTTGGTGTTTTCCCCAATTAGATGGGTTGCTAATATGCTGCCAGTACATATTCTTCATGCACACACGCACACAGTGGGTTCTTTAGCCACATGACCCCTTAGCCATCCTGCTACCCAAACTGCCATCTTCAGTATATGTTCTTGAACATAATCCCATTTGTCCTTGATTTTCCCAGTCCACACCGGACAGGTAGAACGTGACTCACTCGGGTAGTGATGGTTGACTGGCATGAAGCAATTTCACACTAATTGAGAGAAGGCTGAATCTTCTAACCAGGCCTGTGTGGCACTGTGAGGGGAGTGAATCTGCCAGTGTATAAATGTTTGTGTTTGATGGACATTTTCGAGTTCCACCCTCCGAGAACCTCAGCCAATCACTTTCAAATGGTGAACTGGAATGCTGGAAAAGGAGGGGGGGGGAAGGAGTTGTTTAGCAGTTTAACCCCAGGCCAGCTGACAAAGTTGGGGGTTGTTAGCTTTTGAGAGAAGGGTTAGGAGGACTGCTGGTTAAGCAGGGATTCCATTAGGGATTTTGAAGAGAGGTAGGGTTTGGGTGCTGTTCCTGCTAAAAACAGTTAAAAGGGGGAAACCGTGTTTCCTCTATGTTATAGAGATCTGGGTGCTATTTCTGTCAAAAACAGTAAAAAAAAGCCTTTATGTTTCTTGTTATATATTTCAATCATTCAACAAGAAACCTGCTTGGTAACTCTTATGCTTTTTTCAGGGCCCAAGTCTCCAGTAGCTTGATTACTGTAATACTGAGAGTACTGGAAAAAAGGAAAACAAAGAAACAGGCTACCCACAAATGCCACTGATAATAGTAGGCCAAACAGATGCCAGGTGGCACCCTGAGTCCAAGTGTTGCCTTCGCTGAGAATTAGAAGAATAAGCAGTCCCCAAACCCACAATTATAAAAATAATGTATATTTTAAAAAAGAAATTTGTAGGATGTGAAATTTCTAAAGATGGAGTGTTGACTCTGTTATGTTCGTGGACCGCCACCAGGGGTCCGCGGCTACAGGCAAGAGCTTAGTTCCTCGAGACAATAGGAACTTAGGATCCTAGTTCCCCTAGCATGAACCAATAGGAACTTTGGTGGGAAATTCAAACCCTCCAATGGGACTGTGTCTGTGCTGGGTGGGTAGGGATATAGTTGGCCTTGCAGGGCAGTTTTGCAGATCAGTGTTAAGTACAATAAACGTGTGCAAACGCATGTCATTGTCCAAGTCCTCCATGCGGCAAACCCAGTACTTTTCAGTGGCGACGAAGGTGGGATCCCGCTGAGCCAGGCCTGGCTCGCATCCCAGCGCAGCATCGAGCTTCGTTCCAGCTGATGCAACTGTGCCCCGCATCGCTCCCAAGCAGCACCATGCCGCACACCGCGTCAAGGACACTACTCCCCGCTCCGTGCCTAAGCCAAGTCCTCCACTCGACATCTGGAGAGCTTCGATCCAGCCCATTCTGAACTCGGGGACTCGTGGATGGACCAACTGACCTGCCACCTCGCCTACCATGAGGTAACTGATCCAGGCAAACGACGGGCCCTGCTCCTCAGCTCCTGTGGCGTGAACACAGTCCACCTTGCAAAGAGCCTCCTTGCACCCCTGGCGATCCTTGAGTGTTCTTACGAGGAAATCATCGACGCCCTGACGAGGTACAAGCAGATAGAATTCCAGGGCCACGTCCAGAAACCGGGTGACTCAGCCACTGCTTTCATGGCAGCCCTGCGCCAGCTGGCTATGGACTGTGCCTTCACCAAGGTGGAGGAGAACCTCCTAACACAATTTGCCTGGGGCCTCAGCGACATAAAGCTGTGGAGGAAGATAATCGGTACCGCCGACATCAAGATCGATGAGGCCCTCCAACTCACCATCGCACACAAGACCTCTCACTGCAACCATCCCCCATCTGCATCTCATCTTGTGCTCCCCGACTCAGTGCCCAAGAACGGAATAAGGAGGACGGCCGTCTCGTCCGCCTGCCCTCCCACCATAAGCCACCAGGACCTGCAGCATCAGGATCCTCTGGAAAGACCGCCGGCCATTCCACGTGCGCCAGCTGCAGAGAGGCACACGAGCATAAGTCCTGCCAGTTCCACGACACTACGTGTCACACATGCGGAAAACAGGGTCACCTCACCCGCATCTGCCGGGGAAGCCGGCACCAGCAGCCTCCAGCCCCGCCCCGATGCCAGGCCGCTGCCACCTACGAGACAGCAGCGGAAACTTCAGAACTCTACCTCCTCACTGACTGGCCATCCCTCCAGGTACTACGCGTCCCCAACCTATCTGCTACCCTGAAGATCCAAGTAACGGTCCGGATCTAGGGGTCCCCCTGCCCTATGGAAGTGGACTCGGGGTCGGCGGCGTCCATCATTTCGGTGGACTTTGCCCTAATGAAGAACCCCGCTTACGCCCCTCCCCTTTGAGTTTGGTGGACTTCCATAGGAGTGGGGACTTTCAGGGTACAGTACCAGGGTTTTGAGGGACTGTTGGACTTGATTGTGGTGGACGGAAATCTGGTCAGTCTTCTGGGGCGGGCCTGGTTTGTGCCGCTGGGCATCACAATCGGGGGAGTTAATAAATGTGTAAATAGGGATTTTGCCGAGGTTTGTGGGGAGTTCCCCGCCATTTTCAATGGGGCTTTAGGGTGTTATAAGGGCCCCTGGTTTCATTGCAGCTAGACCCCATGGTGGCTCCTATCCGTATGCGCTTCCACACCACTCCGCTGGCTATATGGCCTAAAATTGACGCGGAGCTGGACCGCTTAGTAGAGCAAGGGGTCTTAGAGCCTGTATTACACGCCATATGGGAAACGCCAATTGTCATCCCTCTTACACCCAATGGCGAAGTCCGCATCTGTGCGGACTACAAATGCACAATTAATAAGGCCCTTCATGACCACTCCTACCCGGTCCCGGTCGTCAGTCATGTTCTGGCCTCTCCGGCGGGGGCAAAGATTTTCAGCAAACTAGATTTGGCGCAGGCCTATCAGCAGTTGCCAGTGGACGAAGCCACAGCCACGGCGCAAATTATAGTCACACACAGGGGGGCTTTTAAGGTAAAGAGGCTACAATTCGGCATGAGCGTAGCCCCGGGGATTTTCCAACAATTAATGGATTCATTGTTAAAAGGGATCCCTGGAGTAACAGCGTTTTTTGACGACGTCCTGATTGCTGCGGCATCCCCTGATGACTTCGCCTCCATGCCGTCCTGCAACGCTTTGACTCGGCTGGCCTCAAAGTGAA